GTTTTAAACTAAGTGAATTTTATTTAGTTATAATGCAAATACAATACAAATTAAACCAAGATTTATAATAATTGTCATTTTGATCCGTATGGTAATGTGTGGCTGGACCTTGTGTAACTTTAAAAAGGTTAAGAACCCCTGATCTAAATGAAGCATGTTCATGAGCTTCTCTGATCATTTGTATCATTCTCTAAATAAAAAGCTTTAGTTTTTGTTTTAACCGTTCATCGTGTTAACAATCCCTGAACTTGGTTCAGGACCAAGTTCAGGGATCTTATATCATTCACACAAACAGACAGATGCAAAAACATTATTGCTCTGTCTCCTTCAGAGGCAGGTAATTATTATTACTAAGTCTATTAACCTGAGCTTTTCTAAATGATCACATTCTGACTGCAACTCCTGAAACTGTTGCCTGAATGTCGAACTAAACTTTCAGCCCCTCAGCTCAGACTGAGCTGAGTTGGTCCCAGAGCCCCTTTAAGCAGCCAGGATCTATGATTTAACACAGCAGCTACTGAAAAGCTCTTAAAACTCACTGAGGATCCTGGCAAAGCCAAAGTCACAGAGTTTGATGACTTGGTGTTTGGTGATGAGGATGTTCTCGGGCTTCACATCTCTGTGGATACACTGAAAAAAACACAATCATTAACATTTCACCATCACAACAAGACGCTACAAATCTGACGTGCTGAGAAGAAAGGCAGCACTCGGTGATGGTCACAGTAAAAATGGGGCCYTTGTAGCGTTTGTTGTGTCTGAGTAATATATTAACTGTGCTCAGCCAGGGGGGCAGGAATTCTTGTTAAAATAAAAGGGAGCCATAAAACAGAGGCAGCAGGAGGAGCGAGGAGAGGAATCTGAAAACGAGGTGAAGGCGGTTCACACTCACGTTTTGTTTGTGACAGAAGTTGACGGCTTGAACGGTCTGCCAGGTTATACTTCTGACAAGATGCTCCGGGACTCTGAGGACAGAAAACAAAACCATCAGTTGTTGAATTAACTGTGCTGATGTGTTAAAAAACAAAAACACCTGCTATGTTTGGTCTGGGGTCACCATTTTGGTCAAACCTTTGTTGTTGTTTAGGATGACTCTCAGCTACTTCCTCCTCAGCATCTGTAAAACTGACTGATTCGCAGAGATTTTTGTGTCGGCTAATGTTGATCAGCTGTGGTGGATATCTTGTAATGGATTGACTACAAATGTTTATCAGTTGTTTACGTGCATCAAATTTTTTTTGGTTTGTGAGGTATTCAAACAGGCAGAAACATTACTTTCACCCTTCACCTTTCAGCAGCTTGAGATAATTAATTGAGACAAATACAAAAAGAAAACAGGATGACATAAAAATGACTTTTGTTTTTGTACCCTTTTTTTCTGAAACCTGCTTCAGTTGGATCTGTTTTTGGTTTCTTATGCTCCATCAAGCTTTTAGCTACTGTTTAGCCAGATTTAGCTACAGTTTTTCTAGTTGTAGCATTGAGCTATGGTTTTGTTGATTTTAAACTTTGCAGGGCTAAGTTGGATAAAAACTCACTGAAGAAACAGGACCAGAATCAAGAAGTTAAAAACTGCAGAGAATGAGCGCCCCCTAGAGGATGACTGCAGCACAGGTTTTAAGTCCTGTCTCTCTGCGTCAAATGAGACATTTTCCTGAATAAAATCTTAATTCAAGTTCAATTTCAAGTTTATTTATATAGAGCCAGGTCACAACATATGTTGTCTCAGGGCACTGTATRTAAAAAGAACAATCTAAAGAAGAATCCAGCAGATTGTGTTGAATCACTTCATCACAGTCTCCCATCCTGAGCAAACTGTGGAGAGGAGAAACTCCCTGCTAATCAGGAAGAAACCTCCAGCAGAACCAGGCTCAGGACAGACGGCCATCTGCCTCGACCGGCTGGTTGAGGGACAGGAAAGAGACACAAACACAGAAGAACTGGTCCAGAACTGGTCCAGGTGCACCTTCTTCTGGAAGAGCCAAAGAAAAAACATGATAGAAATAATTACAATAAACATGTAGAGAAGAGAGACTAAAGACAACAGCAGAGTGAGGAAATGTGCTCAGTTTGTGCTCCAGCAGTCTAAGTCTATGGCAGCAGAAATGAAGAATAATTCAGGAAACCTAAGTCTAACTATAGGATCCTGATGCATCTCAGTAATCCAGGTAAAAAATCAAAAGGAAAAAAATTGTATAGGTCTTCTGGACGGGTTCTTTAA